TTGATCCTTCTCTTCCTTTATTTGCAGTTTTATATTTATCATCATGATTATTATTCCTACTGCTAATATTTGAATCCAGCTATGTAGCCCAGGCTGATGTGGAACTTATAGGCTAGTCTGGCCTTGAATCAGTCTGTCTCCACCTCCTGGGTACTGGTATTATAAGGCATTATTATAAAGTATTATAAGGTTTTATACTGTGTCCAGCTTATTTTCAGTCTTCATGGCAACCCTATATTGATGCCTTCATTGCTCATCCTATTTCAAGGATTCACTATATTATGCTCCATTTCTACCCTTTGCATTTATTACAATTTCAATATGCTTTTTGTGGGTGTTGTCAGTCATGGGGCTTGAACTCAGGGCCTGGGCGTTGTCCCTGAACTCTTTTGCTCAACACTCTCTACCACTTTGAGTCACAGCAGTGGTTAATTGGAGCTGAAAGTCTCTTGGACTTTCCTGCCCAGCTGGACTTGAACCAAGATCATCAGATCTCAGCCTCTTCAATAGATAGGATTACAGGTGTGAGCCACCAGCTCTAGCCTTCAGGGTCCTTTTATCTGCTTGCCTTCTTGTTTTTGCATATCTCTTCTTTAGACAGATTGGAGGGCAGCACAGAGAAAGCACTCAGTAAGACTTGTTGAGTGAATCTTGTAAAAGATTTGAGTATTTTATGTGTTTTAGGCCGAAGCCATAGTTCTAGGCTAAAGACCAAAGAGAAAAAAAAACCAAAAAACAACAAAAAACAACCATGGGGTCCCTAAGACAGGGAAGAAAAAAGGGAACTTTCTAGACTGGAGGGACTCATTGAGGGACCATACTAGGAAAGGCTGCACAATCCCTTGATTGGATGAATGCTCCAACTCTGGAAAGCAGGGGTGGATAAAAAAACAAAAACAAAACCCATAGGAGGCTTTTTTTAGTTGCTCACTCAAGGACAATTGGTCATGAATTCTTTTGGACAGTCTGTTCTTTCAAAAGGAACAAAAAGTGATCACACGTGCCATACAGTCTTTATTAGCATGTTTATCACTATAATGTGTTGGGTTTTATGTCTTGCTGAGTATATATTATCATGAGGTCAATCCATAATCTACTTTCATATTGTCCAGAATTTTTTTAACAGAGTTCCTGATCTTATGTTTCACAAATGTTTGCTGAATCAAATGGTTTCGTCTAAAAATGCTTAAACAGAAGTCTATTTTTGTTTTTCAAAACAGAAGAAAACAACGGCCAGTAGTGATGGTCCATACTCCCAGCACTTGAAAGGCTGAGTTGGGAAGATAGGAGCTCCAGGGTAGCTTGAGCTATACAGTAAGAACCTCTTTTAAAAAACAAAGAGGGAAAAAGATGGAGAAAAAGCAGGGAGGAGAAGGCTGTAGAGGAGGATAAGCAGGAGGAAGAAAAGGAGAAGGAGAAAGCAAGAAAGAAGGGCTTGGAGCGTGGCTCGAATATTATCATGTCAGCCTAACAAGCATGAATCTCTGAGTTCAAACCCTACTACTGAAAAAAAAAATTAAAAGCAAGAAGGAAATATAAGATGGGGAAGGAGAGTAAAAGGATGAATTGGAAAATAGTATTGAAGTTAAGAACAGTGGAGTCCATGAGAAGAAAATGAAGTTGGTAGAATTAAATGCACTTAACAAATGCCAACATTTTAAGCTAATCAATTATCTACAGGGAGCAGTTACATATACAATGTCAGTCTTCCATTCTCAGAAAGTTTTCAAACTATGTTACCCCATAGATCACCAGTTCTCCATGAGGGTAATCTAGAGATAGATGTAAGTCACATTAAGATTTTAGAAAAATTAGAATGGAAGAATAATTATGAATTGTTGTTAAAGGACTAAGGTGAATTGAATAGTGTTCCCCTTCAAATTTCTTGTCCATTTAGAATTTCAAATGGAAAATGCACCATCATATCTTCTATTTTCTTAGGATACAAACTGGAAGTGACACAATAGGTAAATAATTTACCTGTGAAATGTCTTATAATAAATATTATTATAACTATAATTATTAAGAAGAAAACTTGCGTTCTTCAATACATTACCAAATTTATTTTTAAAAGTGTGTAATAATTTACAACACTGCCAGCCAGCCCCACTGATAATTCAATAAATAGAAAATGAGCACAAGCTGTGTAAGATATTGAAGGACAGAATACTGAAAGTTTATGAAGGTTTTAGTCTTGAATACAAAACCAGTTATGCATCTATTTAAATATTTGAAGATTACTTTTTTTTTTTTTTGCCAGTACCAGTGTTTGAACTCAGAGCGTGTACTCATCTGTATGGCTGGAGTTTTACCATTTAAGTCACACTTCCAGCCTGGCTTTTTACAGATGGAGTTTTGAGGAAATTATTGCCTGGGATAGCTTTGAACTGAGATATCCTCCGGGTCTCAGCCATGATGGGGATGGAGAGGTCAGGAAGACTGGTGAGTTAAGGAGTTAGGGACACTGCTGAAGTGAGGTCAGGCTCATCAGGAAGCAGTATGGCTGAATATAAGAAAGCAAGAACAAAACAGCTAAGAATGAATCTTTTGGTGATTTCTTAGTAGCCTGATAATTATCCTTTAAAAATACTTTACTTTTGTTTTTCTAGTGCTATGATTTCCCAATTATCCTGATCTATCCCTATTTGTAGTTTGGGGGAGAAAATACTAGTAATGGTAATAGACATTTAGAAAACTCTTTCCACATATAGCTGCTGCTATGGGTACAATGTTACAATGTATAGTGTTATCTCTTGAAATCCTTTATCAACCCAATGAGATATATCATTAACATAAGAATTGAGGGAGAAGTAATTTTCTGTAAAGTGCATCAGTCCAGCCCAACTTGTTGCCTTCACACGCCCTTAACAGTTGCTGGAAATGTGTTGAAATGCTCACTTCAGGGACCTGTGTGATCTTACTGGGAAATAAAGTCTTTGTAGATGCAATCAAATTATGATGAGCTCATAATGGATTGAGAGTGGGTTATAACCCAATCACTGGTGTCCTTGTAGAAAGAGGGAAATTTGGACTTAGACACGAAAGGAAAACAACAAGTGAAGATGGAAACAGAGATTAGAATACTACTTCCACAAAATTTCCAATTTTCAAGCAGCAGAAAATAGGAGAGAGGCACTGAAAATAAATTCTCCCCCTGGAAACAAGAAGAAACCAAACTGCTGCTGCCTTCAAGACTTGACCTCCAGAACTGTGAGACAATAAATTTCTGTTAAGATACATAAGTTGTGGTATAATTTGTTAAAACAGCCCAGGAAATTAATGCACTTATTCAAACATGTTCTAGCATAGACATTTCCTCATCTGAAATAGACTTTCCGGTAAAAGAGAAACACAGCCTATTGTGTAATTCCTTTTAGTCTCAACATTCATCTTTTAAGTCATAGGTTAGGTTCCAGTAGTAGAACCTAAGCTACAGACTATGGCACTCACCTGTAAGCCCAGGTACTAAGGAAGAAGGACCCACAGTTTTGAGGGTAACATAGATATAACTTGTTGAAAAATAAAGCCTAGCATGACAGTGCAGGCCCTTTAATCGCAGCAGTCCTGAGGCTTGAGGATTATTTCAAGGCAAGGCTTCATAGGGAGGTGGGTCTTCAGTTAATATAAAATCCTCAAATTTCCTTGTTTTTAAATAATTTGGGGCTATACTTATAGTTGTCATTTGCTGGAAAGTGCCCATATCTCCTGGACCATGTGGTGGTCCTAGATCATTTAAGTTAGCTGCAGGAGACTTCCTGACTCTTCTCTTTCCCAGATGCTAGTAGATTGTTGGCTACCAGTTTTTGTCAATAGTTTCTCCCCAAGAAATAAAGAGCGAGGAACCTGTGTTAAAGATAGTCTTTCAGCACCATTTCACTATTTGTTCTTTGAATTTTCGCTTATCTCTGATTTGATAAACATTAGTGTATGTTCATTATTTATGTTTGTGATAAAATGTTGGTCATTTAATAATTGCTTCCTTGAACAATTATTTTCAGATATATTGTATTCTAGGCCCGAAACATCTCTAGAAATGTTAAATATAATTGCTATAGTATTATGTATATATTGTGTTCTAATATGCTATAAGTGACAGTCTTTCAGGAAGCCACTCTACCATTTTTTTTTTTTTTTTGTCGGTCGTGGGGCCTGAACTCTGGGCCTGGGCGCTGTCCCTCAGCTCTTCAGCTCAAGGCCAGCGCTCTACCACTTGAGCCATAGTGCCACTTCTGGCTTTTCCCTGCTTATGTGGAGCTGAGGAATCGAACCCGGGGCCTCATGCATGGGAGGCAAGCACTCTAGCAAGGAGCCACCTTCCCAGCCCTACTCTACCATTCTTAACAGAATAAACCTTCCTGGCCCTAACAACTTGGCTTAACACTGATTGGGTTCCGTTAAAGTGTGAAAGCCAGGCAGGTGAAACCTTTATAAAGCACAGGCTCTAGCTATTTGCTCTAGTTTCCTCGGGTTGAATAAGGCCAGGCCATTTAAGCTTATGTTCCAGAGAGATGGTAGAAATCGTGGTGAGCCCACTGTAACTTGGGCCCATGATGCTGACCTGTTAACGAGCCATTGTTATCAATAGTAAAGATAAGTTACCGGTCTTCATCTTTCTATTTGACTACTTTCAACTGCTTCTTCAAATTCCTAGGAAAGGTAGGAAAACCCCCAAAAGGCTGGAGACTGTGCGCCGGGAACCGACCCTACCCCCACAAACAAAGGCCGAGGCGATTTTCCTCATTGAGTGCTCCTTGGGCGGCCCACAGCTTGATTAAAGACATATTAACGGCCTGACTGACACTTCCTGGGTCCTGTTTTCTCCCTCCCCCGCCCCCCCCCCAGGCCAACTTCTCCGCAGGTGGCTGGCTGCTCACAGGGACCCCAGACCAGCACAAAGCTGCCCGCCGCGCAGGCGCCTGGGTCTCGGTACCTCGGGAGGATTCTAGCTCCTGCGCGCAGACCGGAAGTGGGCGGGCCCTGGCGCGTGTCACGCGGTTCACTTCCGGCCAACCCTTCCCCTTCCCCCTTCCCCGAAGTCACCTCCCCCCTCTCCCTTCTCGTCAGCCTCTTCCCTCAACTTCTCCACCCCTCGTGCTCTCTCTCCACCCCGCTCGCCTCCAGTCCTCCCCTCCCGCTCCATCCGGGTCCGCCGACGGCTGTCTCGGGACTGTAGAGTGGCGGCGGCAGCGTTTCTCTGAGGCACCGGGTAAAGTTTCACCGGGGCGGAGGAGGGGGTTGGAGGGGAGGGGAGCGGCGGCCCCGACGGGGCGGCGGCGGCGGGGGGGAACGGCCCTGGTGGTCGCCGGCACTGATGGCAGGCGGAGGGTCCCGGGAAGCGG